GATGATGATGATGATGATGATGATGATGATGATGATGATGATGATGATGATGACGGTGATGGTTTTTATGATAACTTCGCCCGGCGTCAGTGTTGCAGATGCAAGACAAACAGATGCGTCTGAGTTTCGTATGTAGCGCAATCATGTGAGTTTCACCACGCAGCGTCAACCCGCAACGGAGTCAGCTCACCCTTGCGCTCGACAAGTACGGATCCATCGCCTACAGCTCATGATCTGGTGGCGTCTCTGGATGGATGACTTCTCTCCTTCACAACTCTGTGGCCTGTCACCTACACCTTTCAGACCTCCACAGTCATTTATCATCAGCCCTGCTCATGGATGATGCCATGCGCGAGTGGATCCTTCCAAGGCAGGCTGATAACAAGATACGATGACAAAGCAACTTGGACGATTGCGGATCTCATGAAAGCGCATCATTGCTGCTGGGAAGTATGCTGGGAAGTATGCAAGCAGGCCAGAGATCAGGGAATAGCTTTGGCACGCCAGGCAGGTTGATGAAGTCCACACTGCTGTATGGCGTTAGGCTTGATTGTGGAAGCTTGAAGGACAAAGGCTCTGCTTTGTTGAATCAAGTTTTGTTGCTGGAGCCCTTTGTTTGGGCTTTCCCACAGAGCTCTTTCTGGCGCTCTGGTATGGGTGGAAGTTTTTGTTGTGCGCCTGAGGAGCTGGGACTGCTTGATTCAGGAGGTTGCGGCGCGTCCACATCTGGATTCTCAGAAAGAGCTTGTGGATTGTGAGTCTGTATCTTGTGATCCTCGATGATGAACGCAGAGGATGCCCAGCGCCTCGATCTCGCAATTCGTCGCATTGTTGATGATGCTTGCTCAGGACGCGGTGGCCCCTGATGGTGGCGCGTTCATTGCTGAAGCGGTCAAGTGGAACATCATCCGTGGGTGGGTAGTAGTAGTAGTAGTAGTAATAGTAGTAGTAGTAGTAGTAGTGGTAGTGGTAGTGGTAGTGGTAGTGGTAGTAGTGGTAGTAGTGGTAGTAGTAGTAGTAGTAGCGAAAATCGCCAAGCGCAAAGTGAGACTCTTGGCCAGCGAACTTATGGATGAATGCTTGCGGAGGTCAGCTGTGAAGGCGGTGTTTGCTGCTCACTTTTGATCTTGGAATTTTGTCGCGAACTTGAAGAAGCATTGCAAGCTGGTGGTGCCGGTGGTTCTTCCAGAACATAGCAACCATCATGTGGGACATGGCACGGGGCTCGAAGTATGAATGGTTTCAGGCGGATATGTAACAAAATGGGTGGACTGAGGCCTTGGTCCAAAGAGGTCTTCTCGGCAATGTTTATACATTAAATTTGCATGTTTGCATTTAATTGTGTGGCTTCAGGCCCTTCCCCAAAGATGTCTTACAGCGGCTGTTTATGTAGTTTCATGTGGGTTGACGCCCTGCCAAAAATTTATTCAAGGCCATGATGACAAAGATGTTTTGACAGTTGAGCCTCCTTTCGTGCGAGAAGCTTGCCGCGGAAACATTGCAATCGCAATATTCCTCCAGTTTTCCCGAATGCGTAGCGAAGGGTTCTCGTTTAACTCTTGGGGGTCTGGGGGTAGAGCCTTGTTCGCGATCCGTTGTTTCTACGTCCGCAACCGTCCGCAACCGTTCGCAACCGTTCGCGGTAGAGCGCTAAGGCGCTGCCATTGGGGGAAGCTTTTGCAAGTGACTTTTCATGGATGTGTCACGTGTCAGTTTGCGACGCTATTCCATTGTGATTTGCATGAAAATGACATGTCGCGCAAGAAACGTGATGCATTTCGCTGCACAGGCGCAGCGTTTTGTGAGATCCTCAGTTTGCTACGCAGTTCCATTGGGATTAGCGTTTGGAGAGTCGTGTTTTTGGGGTGTTGGATGTGGCCGTGCCATTGGGATTTGCGTTTCAGGGTGTGGCGTCGAAGCTCTGTTTTCGTGACCAGTCTCAGCTGAAATGGTGATTTTGGTGGATGGGAGGGTGCTACGGGTCGAAATCATTCCAAACGTGTGGTGTGGTGCAAATTTTGTTGAAGCTGACATGAGATGATATTGCAACTTTTCGTGGCAGGCGCAGTACTTTGTGTGGGTTTTGAGGCGTGGAAGTGCGATTCTCGTGGCAGGCGCAGGGAATGGCGAGGTTGCGAGGTGTGACGGAGGTGACATTTCGTGGCAGGCGCAGTACTTTGCGCGCGTTAGACGTGTGGACGCGGAAAGATTCGTGGCAGGCGCAGGGAATTGCGAGGTCGTGAGTTGTGGTAGAGGTGAATGTCGCTGTCACAGTGGGATTGGCGTGTGAACGGGTGTTGTTTGGAGGGGCTGGACTCGCGAAACTGCTTGGCAGGGCTGCGTGATGTGTGTGTGCTCCGATGGGTGTTTCCGCTTGACTGTTGGAGGAAGTATCGTACGAAATGCTCGTTTTGCAGACTTTGACGTGAGTGAGTTTTGGAGGAAGTCTCGTACGAAACGCTCGTTTTGGAGACTTGACACGTGACTTTTGGAGGAAGTCTCGTACGACACGCTCGTGTTGGAGACTTGACATGTGACTTTTGGAGGAAGTCTCGAACGAAACGCTCGTTTTGGAGACTTGACGTCTGACTTTTGGAGGAAGTCTCGTACGAAGAGTGCACTACAAGAGTATCCCACAAGAGTGTCCTACAAGAGTGTCCCACAAGAGTGTCCTACAAGAATATCCCACAAGAGTTTCGTACAAGAGTGTCCCACAAGAGTGTCCCGCAAGAGTGTCCCGCAAGAGTGTCCTATAAGAGTGTCCCACAAGAGTGTCCTACAAGAGTGTCCCACAAGAGTTTCCCGCAAGAGTGTCCCACAAGAGTGTCCCACAAGCGTGGTCCCGTAAGAGTGTCCCACAAGAGTGTCCCGTAAGCCTGTCCCACAAGAGTGTCCCGCAACCGTGTCCCACAAGAGTGTCTCACAAGAGTGTCCCTTAGGGCCCTTAAGAGTGTCCCACAAGAGTGTCCTATAAGAGTGTCCCACAAGAGTGTCCTACAAGAGTGTCCCGCAAGAGTTTCCTACAAGAGTGTCCCACAAGAGTGTCCCACAAGAGTGCCCTACAAGAGTGTCCCACAAGAGTGTCCCGCAAGAGTGTCCCGCAACAGTGTCCCAAAAGAGTGTCTCACAAGAGTGTCCCTGAAGAGTGTCCCACAAGAGTGTCCCACAAGAGTGTCCCACAAGAGTGTCCTACAAGAGTGTCCCACAAGAGTTTCCTACAAGAGTCTCCCACAAGAGTGTCCCACAAGAGAGTGCCACAAGAGAGTCCGACAGGAGTGTCCCACAAGAGTGTCATACAAGAGTGTCCCGCAAGAGTGTCCTACAAGAGTATCCGACAAGAGTTTCCTACAAGAGTGTCCCGCAAGAGTGTCCCACAAGAGTGCCCCACAAGAGTGTCCTACAAGAATGTCCCACAAGAGTGTCCCATATGAGTGTCCCACAAGAGTGTCCCACAAGAGTGTCTCACAAGTGTGTCCCACAAGAGTGTCCTACAAGAGCGTGCTACAAGAGTGTCCCGTAAGAGTGTCCCACAAGAGTGTCCTACAAGAGTGTCCCACAAGAGCGTCCTACAAGAGTGTCACGTAAGAGTGTCCCACAAGAGTTGTCCTATAAAAGTGTCCCACAAGAATGTCCTACAAGAGTGTCCCACAAGAGTTTCCTACAAGAGTGTCCCACAAGAGTGTCCCACAAGAGTGTCCCACAAGAGTGTCCTACAAGAGTGTCCTACAAGAGTGTCTCACAGAGTGTCCTACAAGAGTTTCCCATAAGAGTGACCACAAGAGTGTCCTACAAGAGTGCGCGACAAGAGTGTCCCGTATGAGTGTCCTACAAGAGTGTCCTACTAGAGTTTCCCACAAGAGTGTCCCACAAGAGTGTCACGTAAGAATGTCCCACAAGAGTGTCCTGTAAGAGTATCCCACAAGAGTTTCCTACAAGAGTGACCCACAAGAGTATCCCACAAGAGTGTCCTACAAGAGTGTCACTTGTAGCTTTTCGAACGTGTCTAACAGCGTACCGGAGTGTGAAAAAGATAATCTAACCGGCTGTGTCTCTTTCTATACACAGTGGATTGACATATGTGTCTGCATTCGGGTTCGTTGGCTCCATCTTGTTTTCACACTTGACATTACGCATTTCATGCGACAGGGTTGCATTTCGTGGTGACTTGTCAGCACCACCCCCGGCCTAAGAAAGAAACACAACATTAGGGAAAAGACAAGGAGGGAGGGAGGGAGGGATCGAGAGAGAGAGAGAGAGTGCGTGTGTATATGTGAAGATGTGCATGTCCGGATATGTACCTGTTCTTTTAGAAGAACCCTTCGCTCAGGCGCTCTTGAGAAAAATCTTGAAGGTCCTTGAAGGTTCTGAATCGTAGAATTTTGTCGGTGGGCGGTCGAAATGTTTCTGGATGCTCAGTCGATGATGTGCCCTCTTTGCTTGCTTGCATGTCATGTTGCGCACGCACTTCTCGGAATCTTTCATGAAATGTACTGTAAACCTGCCACAGGTTGGGCACATTGGCTCTCTGTGCGTGAAACAAAGCATGGCAACTAAAGAGATTCTCGCAAGTTGATACAACTCATTACTATCGTCCCACCGGCCGGCAGTGGTAGGTGTTCCTGGGCCGAGCAACGCAATCACAGTAGGCAATGAGATCTTTGATGGTCTTTGCCAAGGAGCGGGTGGCACCGAGCACTGCAGCACTGCGCGTTGACCCAGCATGGCTGATTCAGGCCTTTGCAGCTTGGCCTCCAAAAAATGGTTTTGCCTTTGCAGCTTGAACCAGTGGCAACTCAATTAGCACAAAACGGCCTGCCACCGCCGCCACATTTATTGCAGCTCTTTCGGCAGTTCGAGTTCATGTATCCAGCATTTGTGGCACCTGAAAGAGACCGTGTGAAAAGAGCAAACATCGAGTTGATATGCCCCCAACCAAAAAGCAGCCGAGGAACAATATCCGAGCTTGGACCAGCCATAGCATTGCCAATTCCTGTTCAGGCCAGTGTGTGTTAGGCACGTTCGAATGCGAGTGAATATCTGGAGGGCAGGCTACAGGTTGGCAATGCCATAGCAGGATAATTTGGGATGTCTCGGGTGTTTCCTTCCTTGCAAATTAAGACTACCATCGCTTCGACATCTACATCGAGGACGGTTTCCGAGTTCCACCATTGGTTGAAAGCTTGAGCGAGAACTATCCAATATGGACCGGTTTCGACTGTTGGAGATGAAGCGTCAGTCCTACTGCCAGTTCCCTATTCTCAGGCAATTCTCGTACTCAACACTGAAAAGAACACTACTTAATGATGTGATCGGCTGAACTCAGTGCTTTCTTTCTTCAAAGTAGCAGCCTTCGTGTTCATGCAGCTGTGCAAATGGCAGCAGTAAGTCCTGTCTTCACATGCTGTGGCTTCCACCAATGTCCGCTCACTCGCCGACTCGAGTGAAACGACCTGCCACCGGTTTGCTAGCAACAGAATGTTTAAAAAGTGGGAGCCTCTTCTCCAGCTCAGTGCCTTGCCTGAAGATTTGATACCTCTTGACAACGAACGATGTTTGCCTTGGTTGCAAGTCGCTTTGCCAAATTGAGGTCACACTGATCGAGATAAGAATTCTAAAAATGTTTGCCTTACTGTCCTCCAAGCTGCAAGCAAAAAGGCAAAAAACAGGAAGGTGTTCATGGACTTTGCGGTCAAGCGCTCTAGCCATTCAAACTTGAACTTCAAGCCAAATACAGGCATCTAAGCGGCCTAACGATGCAAAACTTCGGCTGCAAACAAATGGAGCGAATCATGAAATCATAAGGCCCCAAATGCAAACAGTTGAATTAGCGGCCCTTGTGTTTCTTTTGTCCAGAATTTGGTATGGTCATGGCACAGCAGGTGGGCGCAACTCGCAATGAAAGCATCAATTCGCAAGTGCTTTTACTGCGGCATCACCCGCTTGGTCAAAAATTCTTTCATCCACGCCTCACAGTCAAAGCCAGCAAGAAACGAACAGAAAAGCTTGGTGTGCGACTAGTCAGATTCGCTCCTTCCTTCTCATCCGCAAAGGAGCCATTTCAGTAACTTAACCACCGCCCTTTTGCCTTCCGGAGAAAACTGCTGATGCGTGTTGCCCACGTTGACTTTGCATGCCTCTGAAGGCTGGCATACTTCGCGATCAAGTCGTTGTGCCGATTCACAAGCATCTGTTTGTCTCGATTCTGTCAACATTGGGGCCAAAAGGTTCTTGCAACCAAGGCACTGCAGGTTGTCAGCCACCTGCACATTGAACATGTTGTCTTGCAAAGCTTAAGTTGCACTAAATGCAACACCAAACAGTTGTGCTGGCATGACAGTGCTTTCATACGTCCTCTCGTGTTCTACCAAAAGCTTGAAGAAACCCTCCTTTGCTTGAGTGTTGCTTAAAGGAACAGGGACAAAATGATGGAACATGTTAGAGAAACTTTACTCCGGGAGGCACACTTCAACTTCACCTCAAATTGGAAGCAGCTTGAAGTAAACCACCAAAAAACTGTGGCAAAGGATAATTTTCTTCCAAAGCTGCTTCTGGCAAGTTCCATGTTTGTTTCGGAAAGGAAGACCGATTTATGACTAACGCAAATCCCGGCCTGTACAAGGAAGAGTGATATCCGAAATTTTGTGCAAAACAACAAACAGAAAAATGGACAGGACTTTTCGTCACTCTGCATTTGATGGCCCGAAGGCCTCCAGCTCAGCATTAGGCAATAGTTTGGCCAGCTCTTCAGCAGCCTCGGCCAACAGCATATTCTTACAAGTCTCTGACCACGCAAAATGCACCATCCCATGCCTCCACAGGATGGTGGTCGTCGCCATTGACTGCCAAAAGAAGAACTGGACATCCAGGAGTCAGCCTTGGCCCGATCGCCGCGACGAAATATTAAAAGTTATTGTATTACGGGTATTTAGGCCTGCTCTTCCAATAAAGTAAGTGTTGCTTCTCGTTGAGTCACATCTGCTTTATGTTAAAACTCCAGTTGGCTGTTTACCTAGCACGCTACTTGCTTGGGCTGGAATGTAAAAAATTTGGTTCCGCTGCCATGCGTCCGCCACGTATACACCTGCATGTTTTGGCTGTGAACCAGTGGCACTGGCACACCTCTTTGGAAATGACAGCGCTCTACTGCGACGTTTGCTCCTGTACTTGAACGCTGGGCCGGCACTGGTGCCACTCCGACATTCCCCGCTGCCACACTTCCACGCCACACTGCCACTTTGCCGCGCCTTGCTCCCACACCCCACTGTGCCTGCCACGCTGCACACTGCTACACCCTACCCAAGATCACTATTGCATTGCATGCATCAGCTGGTTGCAACTGCGTAGTCGATTTTGGCGACATGTGCGTCAGCTGGTTGCAATTGTGTAGTTTATTGTGCAAACTGTCTGCAAATTAGTATAGGTTACAATTTACAAGGGGGCCGAAAGATATATCTAACGATGCTTGCAAGTTGCAAGCAAGTAAGACATCGCCGACCAATTTGCAAGAGGATCCAAATTATAGGACCGGATAGCCCCACAGGTTGATAACTTCGCCAGACACAGGAGCGGACAATTGGCGGTTGGTGGGTGACAATTGGTTGGTGGCAGTTTGGTGGCAACTGGTTGGTGGCGGTTTGTTGGTGGCAATTGGTGGTGGCAGCAAGCACCGCGCCTGCCACGCAAATCACACCGGCAGAGCTGCG